AAGAAAGGATTGAACAAAAGTTGGCATTAAAGCAGCAGGTTGAAAGTAGGTTATTAATCTGCAACTTTTTACAGCTGATGTGAAAAAGAAGTATGTAGCAAAAAAAAAAAAGATAATAAGAAGTTAAAACCAAATATGAAAAAATGATTGACATCTAACAAAAGTACAAGTGGAAAATTACTTTGAAGCGGTTTGGAAAGCTAGCAAATTATTCTTTTAACAGTTCTTGAAAAGGGTGCAAGGGCGGATCCTGGGGGCAAAGGGGGGCTGAAGCACCCCCCCCCCAAAAGAAGAAAAAAACAAAACTGAAGAATTAGATGCTTTTTTTATTGTTTTTCATTGTGTTGATGGAAGAAACTCAATTAGCCCCCCCTAAAATTTTGGCTGGATCCGCCCTTGGGGTGTACCAGCAAGGATTTTAYTGTGGCTTCATCATTAAGTGTGACCGTATACTGACCACACTCTAACCACGTTCTTAATTTGACGAATTTAAAGTTTTCTATTCCTAAATCCTTTTCATACTTTATTCCTCAAGAAAACGACTGTCTCCTGAAGAAAAGAAGCAACAGCCTCTTGCTGGTTCAATCTTTAAAGTCAAAAATCTTGGAACTGGAGGATTACCCAGCATTCCCTATGATGGGTAGAAAATAACTACACAATATATATGCTGGCATTGTTGACCCATGGGGTCTAGGAATGGGGGAGGGAGGGAGGCAGAGAAGAAGAAGGGGTTCCTGACCCTTTAGAGATTTAGGCAATGCAGGCTTTAAAACCATTGCAAAATTARATATTTGATTAAAATTTGACAAATTTTAAATATTATTACTTCACAATAGTGTGGTTTTYATTACTAGTTAGAGTATTTATATTAGTGTACTAATAATTATTAGAGTGTAATAGTTGGATAAACACGRTAGAAAACAAAAGAATTAGAGTGAAGTAGTGCTAAATATGCTAAATAGTATTTCACAGGTTTATGAAAATCACTTTAATATTGAATGTAATCAAATTACCAGCAAATTTTTGTCACAAATGATTTTTGATMTTTATTTTATAAACTATTAAAAGAGAAATATATCTTTGCCTTAGTGTTAACTGAAAATAATAATGTTTAGGAACGTTGAGCATAGGTAATTTAATGTTTATGAAATGATTTTTAAAACACCAGTTCATTCCCTATTTTAAAACATTATTTAACCCATTGCATGTGCAGATATGATCAGTAGGCAATACAGTTGCATCTGAGTGTGCTATATTATCTTAAAGCAATGCATTAAGCTCACTTAACCAGTCTTTTTTACTGTGGTAATAAATTCTGTGGTATGCATGTCCTGAATGTTAATCAGTTAAGGTCCGTAGCATATTGCTGCAGCAATGATACGAAATCTCTTACAACTGCCACAGGAACACCGATGTTAACATGGATATGCAGGAACATCCTTCTTCCCCATGGTGGCATAAGCACTCCAATAGAAATGACCATTGAGTTATTCTCAATGATATTCACAGGAGTTTTGCTCCACYGCTTTAGCATTGAGGATATGCCACAAAGAACCTGTGAAAAATAACCMCAAAATATTAAGCTAAACAAGCATTGAAGATGTTATTGTTTTCATTGCAATCAAACAAAAGTGTAAAATGCAGTAGAGCAGTGGAGTCTGTCCTAGTAATACTGAAATCAGCTGACTTATAACGCAGGCTAACAAAATTAATAACCATAAAATGGCTGACAATTGATTGTAAAAGTGTCAATAAACTGCTGTGAAGCAGCCACACTAATCTTCAATTTGACCAAACATGATAGTTTGTAATGACACAACTTACATACCCCACAACAGCCACACAATCCACCACAACAAGGCTTCTGTGGGTTTATCATGATGGTTCCCTGAACTCCTGACTGGCCGTTCATYTCCACACTCTTCACAAATCTGTAGGGAACTGGCAAATAGCAGGTGGTGTCTCCAAGACTTATCTCAATACTGTAACCACCAGGCATTTTCTTTGGGTCTCCAAACATCTTAAATGATGTTGCTGATACATGTGATTACAAATTAATATAATGTTAATTGAAATCAATTATATATACGACAAAGTTAAGCTGTTTTTCTAATGCTGTGGGAGGGGGGATTTCCACTATTTTTATTATATTTTAAAGTATGAAGAACATGTTGGACTCAAATCAATCCCTGAAATCCTCCCCTGGATCATTGGTCAGCATTAATATAGAGACTACACCTTTTTAGCCTGGGCAATCAGGGAKCTTTATAAGCTACTGGTATGAACTATAATTTCAAACCATGTGTCAATCACTTGGGAATAAATAAGAAACTTAGTTTGAGTTGTATCCATAATCAYGTGTCTTTAACAAAGAAATTAATGATACTCAAGGGAATCATGCAGAAAGGCTTACGAATAAACCTCGGCTTGGACGTTATGTTTCCCCATTTCAGACCATGTATAATTCCTTGAGAATTAGGTTCTTTGTTTGAGTTGTATCCATAATCATATATATGTGTGTGTGTCTTCTCATGTGCAATTGAACCAGTGCAACCGTTAAACAAAGAAATGATACTCTAGGGAATGACATGGTCCAAATGGGAGAGGAGTCAGTAGTCCATATCATACAGGCTGAAGATCGAAAGGGCTATTCACTCGTAGGCCACGAAGGCGAGAGGACTAATTGCCAAATCCAACTAGTCCGTCAAATATATAGATGTAAACAATTTTTGGATCAAACTTAAATTTAATGTTTTGGTTTTCAAAGTCGGCACTTTTTTCTATTTAAGTAAGCTATAACTTATATAGCCTAGATGTAATAGCTCATCCCAAGCAGCACTGATGATACACCAGTAGTTGTATTTCACTAATATATATTTATATTAGACACAATTTACTAATATGTATAAGTAAAGGGATTTTATTGGACTTACATTGATTCATTTGAGACGACATCAGAAGAATCCTTTTGTCAGTCAACAAACAAATCCCTCCAGGTTTTTGTGTGACAACAGCATTGGATTCATCACATAGCACAATGTGATTGTACTGGAGGCAATGGAATTGATCATGCTGCACAACTCTTTCTCCTTTATACAACAGTCCACTTAGCATTTCAGGATAGCTCATGCCACCCTATCGTGTAATAATAAATTAATAATAAATTAATAATAAATTAATAATAAATTAATAATAAATTAATAATAAATTAAGAATAAATTAAGAATAAATTTATTTACAACACTTTTGCTATATGTAACTTTTGTCTTTAGCTTCTCTTGTGCTCATGCAGCTACTACAGCTCCTCCCTAACTACAGTAAGTTTGTCTATGTTATAACTAACGTACATTTCATTCACAATCTGTGCCTGTTGCATAATTTATATAATAGATCTACCTTGAGAGAGCCAAATTGTGCATTCACAGAGTTATTAAGCTGTGATCCAGCTTGACCCACTGTTGAAAGCAATTCTGCTGAGCTCATGTGTTTGGTAGGAAGGGAGTCGTAAATTCCCCTTGATGATGGATCCAGTGCATTAGGGTTRAAAGGCTGTGGTTGAAATACCACAGTGGGCGTGATTTGTTCCAAGTTGACTTTGAAGAATCAAAAACAAAGCAAAAGTTAGAAATGATGTTATAAAAATGAAGAAGTTTAGCTATAGCCCTTTTTGGAGGCTTCATGTACAAGAAGTGACATAATTATGAAACAATATAATAGGTATATTAATATTAAGTAAATTTAAACGTGGATAAATGTGCAAGTACATTGTTGATCCTGCTGCACTAGGTTGTCTGGTGCAGTAACTTACTTACAGCTATCTCTTTGACTCCATTGAACATTTTGTCAAAAATTTAAAAGYTCAATAATATGGAGAAAGAGTGGCATTCTCCGATAATTGTGTTTTTTTTTTTTTGACAGTGATTGTATTGCAGGTTGTGGAATAGATGTTACAAGCAGCAACTTGCTTAACAACCTTGCTAAAAGTAGAAGCTCGWTCAACTTTTTCTACAACTTGTCACATTGTGTTGCAAGTTGCAGAGAGGTGCTACAGGTGCAATTTCTTCTGGGAGAAGAAAAATATAATGGCTTTGTGTAACAGCTGGCCTAAAGATTTCACTCAACATGCATCACATGTTATCAGTCTTGTTATCATCAGGCTGGATACTTATTAATTCTTTGTAAAAATGCTTAGTTTCAAAAATCCATATGTTTGTCAGTTTAAGGGCAATCTTTTCAAAACATTGTAATCTTACTATAATATTGATGTGACAAATTTGATATTAATTAATTAACCTGGTTTCCTGATAAATCAAATTATATGTCATACTAGAAAGATAAGGGTCAATTTGCCGTATCRTTTCCTACTTGTATGAAGATCTCAGTCTAAAACATTGACACAGTTGGGAAATGTCTTTTTTGCAAAAAGCACCATTAAAATAATATTTCTAATAGTTCTGCAAGTTCCACTGTTTTGCATCCGTCAATTTGCACTTTGCTAACACCCAACAACAGTTGAAGSGATGTGATTATTATAGGAAATCGCATGATCTTGAGTACAATTAGGAATTTATAGGTACAAGTGATGGTTTGATATAATTTTTCAAAATTGGACAAGCCTTTAGGTGAGTTCAATTTCAGAACTTTTAAAACATCACAAGTATCTATAAATTCAGAATTGTAYGAGACAATTGTGTGATTTTTTGTCTATAATACACTCAACAAAACGGAGCAACTTAATATTGGGACTCCTACAGAGAACAATTTGGGATTTAATTGTACTCCTCTTGTCCAATCGGAATCAAGTAATTTTGTAGAGTGTATTATATTGATGGGATGCTAGCATTCCCAAGAGAGTTAAAAAGACAAAAACATGGCGGCCATTGTGGTACCGTTAACAATGGATGCTAATGAGAAATCTTTTGTTAAATGGTACCAACATGGCCGCGATGATGTAACGTGCAAACGAAGACATAAGCTTGCGTAGCAGCACTTTGGGGAGGGGAAAGTTAAGTGCAGTGCAAAGCACCGCTACGCAGGCTACTATGAGATTCGGTTGAATGGCAAACAGAAGTGTTGGACACGTTCCACGTGGTCTGAAACATCCAATGAGAAGCCTCAATTTCCTTGACTTGTTTTGAAGCTTTTTGCAAACTTTATTTTCCAAGTGTGTAATTTATTTCATTTGTTAAAAAAATWTTTTGAACATCTATACAAAACTTTCATTTGCAGTGTGAAGGTGGATATATGAACTATGCCTAGATGTATTCTCAAGAGAACATAAAGTATTTATTCAGTTAGTCAAACATTGAACATAGTTGTAACCCAAGAAGTGAATCCTACAGCTAACAAAGATCCGCTACGTGTCGAGCTTCTCCTAACACTTCTCTCGTCTTCTGTTAGTCTCCCTCGCATCCGTTTTTAGTGTCGGTCGTCACGCAATGGGGAGGGAGCGTTGCGAGACGACCGACACTAAAAACGGATGCGAGGGAGACTAGTCTTCTGTCAATCCCCGCGTGCTTTATAAGTGCACCACAGCATGCAGGCATGCGCGTTTTCTATTTCTTCAGTAGATATTATTTATACTTTCAAACTTAAGTAAAATATGTAATTTAAATAGACTTTTCTCATTATATATGAGTTCAAAACAGCGCGCGGTTGTCCCTAACATAAAAACTCTATTGAAGTCAGCCAAGAGGTCCATAGAGTCAGCCAAGAGTCTGCACATGAAACTGCTCTCCTTTGTAAATCCAGCAATACCCATTTACTACCCCAGATTTCCTATACTAGCAAACATGGTTATATGTGTATCGGAGTTTATTTGTCGAAAATTTTTGGAAGAATATCCATTGAATTACAGAGCGATTTAGTTGTTTACGCTTCGACGTCCATGTGTGTCGGAGTTAATTTGTCGAAAAATTTTGGAAAATATCCATTGAATTACAGAGCGATTTAGTCGTTTACACTTGTTCGACGTCCATGTGTATCGGAGTTTATTTGCCGAAAAATTTTGGAAGAATACCGTTAATATCCATTGAATTACAGAGCGATTTAGTTGTTTACACTTTTGCAAAATGAGTAAAAAACTTAATTCGTACCATCGTGCTTTACGGTGCATGACGACCACCGACTGAATGGCGAAGATTCTTGAAATGCATAACGTTTTATAAAAGTATGGAACACGCTAGCACCGGCTATTTTGATATTGAAATTTTATATACGGCATTTTAGTCACTTTAAAAAACACAAATGCAATATGACTAGCTGTCTTCCTCTAATTTAAGCTAAAGGCAAGTTTAAACAACTTTGTACAATCCCGACTCGTTTTCGGATTCAAGTCCCGACATGATTCGACGGGTGTGATTCGACACATCCACAATTCGAAGCCGTTCCAAAAATATATAAGCTTATTCACTCAAAGAGAGAAGAAAAACAACAAAACTGTGAATAAGAATAACTTCAAGAAAAAAAAAAATTTATTCCCGCAAATTACAGTAAAGTACCTCGTGTACCAGAATAGAAATTGTTGGCTGACTGTTCCATTCGTCTCTCTTCCATTGGAATTACAGGATCATCTGTATTTCTCATTTCCCTGTGGTCCTCGAATTTTGTGTAAGCTTGTGCTGCCATTATTCTTTTTAAGAATGCTTTTTCAAGTACGTTTTCCTAAAACTCAGCCAGCGTTTCGGTCGTCTATGCATGCATGAACTCTAGAACGAACGAAGGCGACTTTCGGGAGTCAATATGCTAATATGTGGTGAGGTCTAAGGTTTCTTGGAAATGTAACTTCCAAGAAACAGCGTGCACTTGTACAAGACTTTTCTTACTGTTTTGCTATTCATAAGAAGTCATAATATATATCATATATGATCGAGGCCGGTGGATGAGAAGGTCGCTAATTTTTTCTTCGACTTTTTCCATTTTAATTAAAATTTTGAATTTAAAAATACTAAAACCTCGAGAGGTTAGCGTGACACCCAGGGTGCGAGCGTGACATCTTTGAAATATTTTTTTTCGAGCACTTGGTCCGGTCACAGCTACAAAAAGTTTACCAACTGAAAAGTGATTATTATAGATATATATATTTTTTAGATATATTAAAAGTGATTATTAGATATATTTTTACAAGGACCTGTCGTCTAAAATATTTTCGATTTTAAAAGATACAGTATGAGCATATAATTAATAACTCATCCTCCGGAATTTCAGTCCCCACACCCTCAACTGAAACCTGAATTTACGTATACGGGACCTACAAAGGGAATCTATGCTATGGAACGCCGTTACTGCCAAAAGAACTCGTCGAGTTCTCGCCGAGAAATCTAAAAACTTGAAATAAAAATATTTCTCGACATACATGGTATGGAGCTTGACATTAATTGACGAAACTCGATCTATGGTGTGTGCATAATTCGATATTCAAACCTCACAAATTATCATGAATTACATGTATTATTAGTAAGAACTGGTACAGTTTTATATGGACCAGCAAAAAGTAGAAATCAAGGTAAATTTATACAACTGATGAAAGAAATCGTTGGACCGAAATTTGCAAGGCAATGATGCATGCACAAAGAAACGAACAATGCCGAGTTCCACAATTTGCGAAATTATAAAACGATAAAAATAATAGTCATTGATAAAGTGAAAAGAACTAATTATAGTATACTAGTACCTTGCATCGCCATAGTAAAAAGTGAATAGTACCAGCAGTAAATCTGTTTGAATCGTCTGAACTGAAAAACAGCTTTGATTTTATCGCAGATTTCTTGGAACTCAAGTGACGTCAATTTGGAAATTAGAAGGGCGTTACCTTCTGGCTCCACTCCTCCACAACAATAACTTCATTTCTCACACACACAGAAGTAAGACTGACGTCAACTGACACGCGCTCTTTCAGTTTGCTGTTTTGGTCACTAATAATGAGACGTTTTTATCGTTTTTTGTCATTGTAAAAAACAAATAGACATCAGTTTTTTATGTGATTGTCCTCTTACTGACGATTAATTGCGTCATCACATTGTCAAAGTAGTGTGGAACCACGAGACGTAGTCGATAACAAAGATTCTTATGATAGAATGAATTTTACAATGAAGCAGGAGGGAAGTTTTGGTTTAGTTTACGGCCTGCAAATGATTTTCTCTGTTCCCAGCCCACAGCTTGGTTTTGATCAAAAGAATGGTTTTAAACTTTGTGAAAAAATAAATAAATAAAATCAAAATAAATAAATAAACCTGGAATAAATAAACAAAAAAATAGCCCAGCCAATAAGGAGCTTTGAATAGGGTCTACAACGGAGGCTATAGGTGTTGTGTTTACTCTAAATTTTCCGTTTTACGCAAACCAGAGGAAAAAAGTTAACAAATACTAACCTGATTTTCAGACCTGGGGCTAAATGACTAAATAGTCCCTTCCACGTTTTACCAACACCATTGAACAGAACACCTCAAATTTAGCAAATTTGCCAAGTTGGAAAATGGCGTCGATCTAGATCCGTAAATCTGCGAAAATTTTCAAGCGTTTGTGTGGTGGGGAAAGTTGTGCCCCCCGACCATATACACTGAACGTCTGTAAAATTTCATGACTTTTGCGAAGCTATACCTTCGACTGTTTCCAACATACCTCTCACAAACTTGGCAAATTTACTAATTTTGAGGTGTTTTCTTCTAGCATTATCGATGGATTTTGCTAAAAAGTGTTAAAAAACGTGGAAGGGTCACACCCACTTTAACAAAACCGTTGGGTTACCTGTGGAATGTCGGGGACCGCGCATTCCAGGCCTTTGACAAGCAAAATGGCGGACGAACCTTCACAGTTGCTTCCTCTTGGTATGTAAGATAAAACATGACTAAAAAAAATTTTTTTATTACTTTTTTCTACGATATTAAAATAAAACTTTTAACCAGCCTTAACTTATTCATTTTACACGAATATAAGACACTGTTTCTTTTTTGTCTTTATATTTGATGTGGGTACTGATCTGACCTTATTTGGCACTTTATTCTGCAGAACTGATTGATAAATGCATTGGGTCAAGAATCCACATCGTTATGAAAAGTGACAAAGAAATTGTTGGTACTCTACTTGGATTTGATGATTACGTCAGTATCCTTTGAACCTGTGCTTCTTTATATAAATTAACTTTCTCAAATTCGGCCACGTGATCACATGTCACACAAAATCATCATTTCTAATGAATTTTTGACATGTACATATTTAAGGACGTCTCTGTACTGTGAAATGAACATGTTGGGAGCTTTAGAGCAAGAGAGAAGCAGGTTTATAGGAACACACGGCGAAGCCAAATGTTCCTCTTGCTTCTTGAGTGCTCTACAGCTCCCAGAGTGTTTATGATTATAACACAGTACAGAGAAATAAGCAGCTGTTTAATATTGCTTTCATAAAATATTTTAAACTATTTTGTGCGAGAGTGTTCTCTGATATAAACACGGTAGCCAGCCAATCAGTATGCACATTTCAAATATTTTTTAAATGAATAAATATATATATTAGAATATATATTTTTGTGTATGAAACTCATCTTTCTTTCTTGAATGATTTTCATTTATTTCCACCAAATATTAAGAGCAAGAACTTGGAAAAAATAGGAAAAAGGAGGGTGGGCATAACCTTTTTTTTCTCTTTTCGTTTTATTTTCCTTCCACTGCCTACTTACCCGCTATCTCTAATGTGAGGCTCATGAGAAAATAATACAAATAGTTACTGATCTTCCAACAAGAGAAAGTGGGATTTTGTATATTTATATATATATATATATATATGTGTGTGTGTATATATATATCCCAGTGATTAATAGATGAAAATAAAGGATAATGTATGAGAAAAACCCCTAACTCTCATATCAGATATGGTTCTTGAGGATGTCACAGAATAGTAAGTATACGTATAAAAATAAATCGTCATCATCATTATAGTCTATACCTGTGTGGCATGTAGGGCTGACATCAAGGATTTCAATGGAAGCTAGCATAAAGGATAAAAAATCAATACCAGTTAAGATAAAGCACCTTTGATAATATTAGTACCTGAATGCTTTTTTATCATTTATATTTTCAATTATTGTTTATAGTGAAAATACCCCAGAAGGACAACGCATCACTAAATTAGACCAAATTCTGCTCAACGGCAACAATATTACCATGGTAATGCCCTTTTCTTACCAGATTTTAGAAATGCTTTTGCTATTATTTAAGTTACTTTCTATTACACTTATAATATAATTATGATTAAAATAAATCCATAATTTGATCATATATTTTTTCCATTTTTTTGCAGCTTATTCCAGGTGGAGAGTATCCTTTAAAAGATATTTTATTATGTATAGTAATGTTAGTTAATAATCTTGATAAAATTATTTGGTATAGGAATTGGTTGATCTTCAGTGAGAGGTTTGGCTTAGGTCTCACTCTCAATACAGAGGAAGATCTAGGGGAGAATGATTACTTGATGTGCTTACTCATCTATTTGTCCTGATCATCAATGATAGACCCATCCTAAAGAAGGCCAGGATCTGTGCCTCCAATAACCACCCACTCTCTAGGATTCTCTAAGTATGTTTTTTTAGGTCACAACATGGGGCTTAAAATAATGGCTGGGTAGTAACTGGTCATGATGACCAGCCAAATGAAAAAAAGGAAATACCTAAGGTAAAGTGGTCTATAGTCCAGTTTCGAGCTCCAAATCACCACTGTGTTTCTTGATTGCAGACTCTTTTAAACACGGTTGGCCTCAATCTTGTGCAGAGTTTTCACATGTTCCAGTCAAGGTCCATTTAGTTTCAAAGTGTTTATATTGTTGAAGTTGTGCATTGTTTACTTAACTGTTGGTATTTGTGAATATTTAAACACTGATAAGCGGCCTACCTTGTGTAAATGAGTCTGTAATCAGGGAACACAGCGGTAATTTTGGATTCAAAACTGGTCTATTGTATGTATCTAGCTGTTAAACCATAAATACCTATTTGCAGAATAATTTATATTCCTTAACAGTTGCTCAGGGGTCCTGATGTATGAGAGGAGAGATGGTACATGAATTTTTTAAAATTGTACACCAGATAATCTACATAATCTTGCATATGGAACAGTCCCTTTTACGATCAACTATTTACTCAAGCATCGTAACATTGTAGAAAATGTTGGTATATAATTTATTTAACTATAATATACTTTTTGTCCAGCTTTTTTCAGTCATTTCATTTTGTTACAAAATACTTTGTTGATGTTGAAATAATAAACCTATCATGACCTCCACCCTATCAGGTTTTGAATGACTCAGATAACTTAATTAAGGCCTGTTTCCAGGAATGGTTCAAAGGTTAAACCCCCCCCTCTCTCTCAGACTGAAAAGTTTCGTGAATATTAGCAAGGGAGGGTACTCTCATATATAAAAGGGTGGCGGAATTTTGATGACAAATGATCCCTATAAAGGCACCTGTCTTGTCCAGGTGGGTGTGGCAACTAGTGATTGTTACCCCCTAAAAAGCTACCAATTTTATCTAAATGACAGAAGTCAGATGATGAACTGAAAATAATTATCTGAATAACAACTGACAATTTTATTACCTGACAATCACTGGTGGTCCTTTATGACACCCCCAAAGATGATGCAGATCGAAAATGCAGATCTTGGTAGAAGTTTCATAAAGAAGCTCCCATCACACATGCAACTATGCTCAGTCCATTACATGAAGTTAGAGATGAATCTTTTATTAAGTTTTTGGGCATAAGAATGCATGGTTGGATCCAGAAATTTTAGGGCGGTGACTATTGCAAAGGTTTAACCAGGAATTCGAGGAAAAGGGGGTGACTAATAATAATAATAAATAATAAAATAGTGTCATTTCATATAGTCTTATTCATGTAGTCTTACATGAAGCACTAACCGTATCGATATGCTGATAATTTCGCCTATTTTACCACCCCTGGATCCGCCCCTGGATGAGCACGGTATTTTTGGTTGATCTAAATCTGTTTAGTTGGGATTCCTGTGGCGTTGAGCCTGCAAGGCAAACCGCATACCTGAATCCAAGATGGCTGCCCACAGAATCACGAAGAAAGAAAAGAACTTTTGATCGGCTGGTAGTTTCACCAAGAATTTTTAGTGAATTGTCGTGAATCATGGCAGGAGCGGCATTAAAAAGGCTTATGGCCGAATATAAACGTAAGTGATCGATCGTCTCCGCCATCGAAAACTAGACGTCTGTCTATTAAATTTCAAGAAGCCTAATGTATAAGCTTATGTCTTTTAAAATGGCTTGAATAGATGAATTCGAGTAAACCTATACGATATTGAAGTAAATATGATAAATAAATACGAGTTTTACTTACAGAGTTAACTCTCAATCCTCCAGAGGGAATCATAGCAGGTTAGTCGTTTATCAATTGTTTTTTTCACACTTTTCTGTTCATTTTGGCTGACATCCTTGCATTTGATTAACTACAGGTCCTATGGCTGAAGATAATTTCTTTGAATGGGAAGCTTTGATATCGTAAGTTTGTGAAGTAAAAGAATGTGCAGTGTACTTAAGATAAAACTTATATAAGCTTACAAATGTTTCAAAACTAAAAGACTCACATAAATGATTGATTACTCACGGAATGCAATGGTTCATTCAGATTGCTTAGGATTTGGGGGGTGG